GAGCTCCACAGCAGCCATACTCCCAGTAATGTATATTTAGGACACATTTTTCATATTCTAAACTGCTCTTTACTTGCATAACTTATTATTGGTAAATCACCTAGAATTTCTCAGAGCAGCCCCGTCCCTGGCCGCATTCTTAATATTAAAGGGAATCTGGCACGTGTCCCTAATTACAGCTGCATCTGTATATCTCTGTTTTTCCATAGTTTGGAAAGTTGTGATTGTGTTTTGTATTTGAGGCATTATTACTTTGTTCTTCAAGTTATGTAGGTTTGTTTATATGTATAGAGATTTCACCACATGTCTAACCCTATAGTGGAATAGATGCTGTAGCTACACTTTTATTCCCTTTTTGTTAGGCTATCCGTACACCCCGTTCGTTTACCGAACCAACTCTGTGTGGTCCTGATACAGGAAAACACAGCAGAAGCCACACACAGAGAGATGGACACAAGTCTATTCAGGAAGTAACAGGTCTTTTATTTACACACCGATCGGGTCTCAGATGAACTCCTGTTCCAAAAATATCTGAGAGGCAAAGCATAGATTGCAGAAGCTTTTTGTTAACTGCATATCCCCTCCCATACAGTATAACCCCTCCTATATTCCTCAGACCAATCAGCACACAGGATATTCAGGATCACCTTATATGGGCAGACCACATAGCTTGTTAACCCCTTAAGGATGGAGCCAAATGTACAAGTTGTGATCAAAACAAAATGTAAACAAACCACAGAATTTGACTCTCTGTCTGTTCAACTATAATTTACCTCTTTCATACTAAGTGCACCCACACTTATTATATATCGGTTTGTTCAGGGGAAACAGGGCTTTCATTCCATATCAAACATTCATATATAGAACTCCATTTTATATGAATAAAATCTAAAAAAGTTTAAAAAATTAAGAAATTTTGATATTTTTCAATTTCTGCATGTCAATTTAACTGATAATGTCACAATACTGTTTGGTTTTACTGCAATAAAACATACATATTTGTATTCAGAAATGTCTCATGAATAAAACACTACCCCCCATGTATACGTTTTATGGTGTTTTTGAACGTTACATGGTCAAATATACATCTTGTCTATTTATTTATTTTTTACATAGAAATTTCACAGATTGGTTTGCTGGGCTTAGGTTGCCTTTGAGACCATATGGCAGCCAAGAAATGTAAGTTACGCCATCATGGCATACCATTTGAAAAAGTACACATCCCAGGGTATTCAAAATGGGGTATGCCCAGTCTTTTGTAGCAGCCACTTGGGCATAAACGCTAGCCCAAGTTAGTGTTCATTTTTTTTTTCATTTTTCAAATAAAAACTGTACTTTTGCTGATAATATTATTGTCAGTATATAGTTTACTGCCCTGAAACACTCCTAGTTCTGTTCAGTGATGTCTCACGAGCGGCACGGTATGCCCTATGCATAGGTTTTAGGCGGTTTTTGAAAGTTACAGGGTCATATATACGGCTTACCCATTTATGCTTTTTCACAATGGAATTTGTCAGATTAGTTTGCTGTGTCTAGGCTGCCTTTGAGACCGTATGGCAGCCAAAAAATGAAAACTACCCCTAATGGCATACCATTTGAAAAAGTAGACATCCCAGGGTATTCAAAATGGGGTATGGCCAGTCTTTTGTAGTAGCCACTTGGGCACAAATGCTAGCCAAAGTTAGTGTTCCATTTTTTATTTTATTTTTTGCATTTTTCACATAAAAACTGTACTTTTACTGATAATATTAACGTCAGTATATAGTCTACTGCCCTGAAACCCTCCTAGTTCTGTTCAGTGATGTCTCACAAGCGCCACGGTACCCCCCATGTATAGGTTTTATGGGGTTTTTGAAAGTTACAGGGTCTTATATATGGCTTATCAATTTATGCTTTTTCACATTCAAATTTGTCAGATTAGTCTGCTGTGACAAGGCCGCCTTTGAGACCGTATGGCAGCCAAGAAATGAAAATTACCCCTTAATGGCATACCATTTGAAAAAGTAGACATCCCAGGGTATTCAAAATGGGGTATGGCCAGTCTTTTGTAGTAGCCACTTGGGCACAAATGCTAGCCAAAGTTAGTGTTCCGTTTTTTTTTTTTTTGCGTTTTTCACATAAAAACTGTACTTTTACTGATAATATTAATATCCGTATATAGTCTACTGCACTGAAACCCTCCTAGTTCTTTTCAGTGATGTCTCACAAGCGCCACGGTACCCCCCATGTATAGGTTTTATGTTTTTTTTTTTAAAGTTACAGGGTCATATATACGGCTTATCCATTTATGCTTTTTCACAATGAAATTTGTCAGATTAGTTTGCTGTGTCTAGGCTCCCTTTGAGACCGTATGGCAGCCAAGAAATGAAAACTACCCCTTAATGGCATACCTTTTGAAAAAGTAGACATCCCAGGGTATTCAAAATAGGGTATGGCCAGTCTTTTGTAGTAGCCACTTGGGCACAAATGCTAGCCAAAGTTAGTGTTCCGTTTTTGTTTTTTTTTTTGCGTTTTTCACATAAAAACTGTACTTTTACTGATAATATTAACTTCCGTATATAGTCTACTGCCCTGAAACCCTCCTAGTTCTGTTCAGTGGTGTCTCACAAGCGTCACGGTACCCCCCATGTATAGGTTTTATGGGGTTTTTGAAAGTTACAGGGTCTTATATACGGCTTATCAATTTATGCTTTTTCACATTCAAATTTGTCAGATTAGTCTGCTGTGACAAGGCTGCCTTTGAGACCGTATGGCAGCCACAAAATTAAATTTACCCCCTTCATGGCATACCATTTGTAGACATCCCAGGGTATTCAAAATGGGGTATGGCCAGTCTTTTGTAGTAGCCACTTGGGCACAAACCCTAGCCAAAGTTAGTGTTTGTGTTGTTTTTTTTCATTTTTCACATAAAAACTGTAATTTTACTGATAATTTTATTGTCAGTATGTAGTTTACTGCCCTGAAACACTCCTAGTTCTGTTCATTGACGTCTCACGAGCGCCACAGTACCCCCCATGTATAGGTTTTATGGGGTTTTTGAAATTTTCAAGGGTCTTACATACGCCTGTCCATTTTTGGTTTTAAACATTGAAAATTGGCAAAGCGATTTTCTGGGCCTATCTTGCCTTTGAGAGAGCATGGCAGCCTGGGTAAAATTATTTTCACTATTATGGCATACCATTTTCAAAAGTAGGCAACCCAGAGTATTTCAAATGGTGCATTTTAAGATGTTTAGTCTAACCACTTTATCAGAAATGAAGGGCCCAAATAGCGGTAATAGATCAGTTTGTGCATTTTTCCACACATGAAATCACTTTTCACAGGACATTTCCTATTCCTGGTATGAGTTATTGCAACAAAGCCTCACTATTTTTTTTTAACATTGTCTCCTGAATATAACAGTACGCCATGTACCAGATTTTGGGGAAGTCACAGGGACAAATATATTAGATGTCCATTTCAAAATTGGAAATTTGGCAAAGTGATTTTCTGGGCCTACCTCACCTTTGAGAGAGCATGGCAGCCTGGGTAATAACATTTCCACTATTATGGCATACCATTTTCAAAAGTAGGCAACCCAGAGTATAACAAATGGCATAATTTGAGATGTTTGGTCTAACCACATTATCAGAAATGAAGGGCCCACAGTGGTTACTGTTTTATTTGTTATTTTTTACACACATGTACTCACTTTTCACAGGACATTTCCTATTCCTGGTATGATTTATTGCAACAAAACCTCACAATTTTTTTGTCTTTTTAATCACATAAATTGCATTTTCACTAGAAATGTCATAATCCTATGTCACGTGCGTGGGCTATAGGCCCAGCCGAGACAGTGGGGAGAGTGTGGAAGTGACAGGGTTAATGACACCAGACCCCTGGTTACCTGTTGCTAGTCCCAGCAACCACTGAATTAACACCTGCAATCCCTTCTACACTAACCCCCTTAGTACACACTTTACTGCCACCACCAAGACTTTTAAACCCGGGCGTCTTAGGTTACCCCACACACAGGAGAATTATAGTATCACAGTTCTACTTTTACTGATAAAACATATATAGTTAACCCTTTTTGGTAACGTGTTTACCTGAGCTTTCCTCTGGAGAGTGAAGCTCATAGAGAACAGAGACACAAGCTGATTAAGTAAACATTTAATCTGACAAAAAGGATTCACAGTGCTGAGTACAAAATACGGAAATAAATGACATACAGATAACAAACTGCAAAACAGTACATAAAATAAAATAGGAGAAAACACAAGAAATTCCTTACATGTAGTTACCCCATATAGAATTCTTGTGGGAGTCTTAGATGGTAAAGGTCTCCTAGAAGTTGCTGACAAAAGAAAAATGAATAACTGACCTCCCTGGATAGTCCAACACCCTCATATATCTAAACTAGTTGTTTCTCAGTGGGCAGACCCCTGGGGGGGGGATCAGAGGGGGTTGGTCTGGCAGTCTATTGCCCACTCTATGAAATTCCTTGTGTCCAGCTCTGGTGATGGCTATCTAGATGTTTTATGGTCTAGGCCTGGTGCAAGATCAAAGACCACAATAAATGTCATCCCAAGGTTTACAAAAAACAACTCTTAACATATAGAAACACACATCAAACACCAACTCATGCTTTTGGCATGACATCCTAGTATTAGTTAGTGCACTAAAACCTCAGTATTTCGATTTAACACTGTCTTCTGAATATAACAGTACCCCCACGTATCATTATTTCAGATTTTTTCCGATAAGTACAGGGCAAAATACATTAGATGCCCTTTTAGCTTGTAAGTTTGGCAAAGTGATTTTCGGGGCCTATGTGGCTATTCAGAGAGCATGGCAGCCTGGGTAATAACATTTCCACCGTTGTGGCATACCATTTTCAAAAGTAGGCAAGCCAGAGTACAACAAAATGCAGACCTTAAGATGTTGTTAGAGTAGTTGGTAAAACAAGCCAATGGGTCGGTACAGGCAGCTAACAAAGCGTAGTCAGGACAAGCCGAGGTCAGTAATCCAGGGAAATCAAGCAAACAAACTGCCAAAGTCCCATACAGAGTGATTTAGAAGTTCAGCTCTGTATGGTAGACTTTGAAACAGTCTGTTATGCAGAGGCCGGGTTTAGATGGACAAGTTGGGCAATAATAACTAGAGTCCTTTCGGACTCCTTTCTTGTAGAAAACACTGCACTTTTTGGGGGAATTTCTTTTACTAGCGGTGGCAGGTATTCGGGAAGGGAAGTGTTTGCCACAAAGTCTTTGGAGATCTTCTGATCCCAAAGTGGGATTGGGGGGGCTGGGTAAATAATAAATGTGACAAAAGGCTTAGAGTGAAGTCTAGGAAAGGGCAGGGCCTACCTATGACCTCTTTTTTATAGAGGACATAGGCATTGAAAATTGCAATCTGGCTCACATAGATTGCAATTTTCTTGTACATGTCCTAGTTTTCCGGTTCACTAGATAGGGCTGTATGCATTGGTCAGCCAAAGCCATGCGATTCTTCCTCACTGTGCCACAGGCTAGGGTTTAAAAGTAATATCAATTTTTAAATAACTGTATACTGGTATAATAATTGTCAACCCATAGCCTATATCCCTTATTTAACAAGGGAAGGATTAGATTCCAAACAATCTTTCCACTTGTACCCACAGAATCAGGACATTCTGGTGGGTCAAGATGGCTATCCTTCCCCTGGTAAATGTGAAACGCCCATGTGTAACCAGTACAGGATTCGCATAATTTATAAAATTTAACGTCATATCGGGACCGCTTAGAAGGAATGTATTGCTTAAATAGCAGTCGACCTTTGAATTTCATAATGGACTCGTCAATTGAAATATCTTTATCGGGGATATAATTTTCAGAAAATTTGTCTGACAGGAGTTGGATAAAGGGCCGAATTTTATAGAGCCTGTCAAACAGTGGGTCATTTCTAGGGGGACACAGTGAGTTGTAAAATGAAGGAATCGCAGCAGTTGCAGATAGCGATCCCTCTGCATAACCTCAGGGAAAAGAGGGGTAGCCAGGATGCGTTGCTTGCTCCAGTAGGACCTGATACTGGGCTTTTTAACTATACCCATCACTAGGGTTAAAGCCCAAAACCGCTTCATCTCTGCGACATCCGTGGGTCTCCACATATTCCTGCGATTATGATGGGACCCCGGATGTGCAGAGAGATACTGCATAGCAAACAAATTTGATTGCTGAGCCATGAGCTCAAATACATCGTCCGACATAAATAGCTCAAAAAAACTAATTGGCTCGCAGTCGTCCACTGTTACAGTGATGCCAGGTGTAACCGTGAACGGCGGTATTTCTGGTGCCATCATGTTTGAAGGCACCCAGTCTCCCTCTGGCATTGGGCATTCTGAGCGTCCTCTTGTGAGTGGTGGTGGGGCACCATCACTTGAGGTCTCACTCAGAGGCTCAATGTCAGAGGCAGTGATAGTGTCACTGTCTTGCAGAGACAGTGTCTTGCCTCCTCGGCTGAGTAGCGACGTGCCATTCTAGGGGGAAAAAAATTAAGTGAAAAGGGCTAAGGGGCTAATTAATTAACTACCTGCCTAACACCCACTACCCACCCTCAAAAATAAAATAAATGTACTGATCACAGTATAGGCAGCTGCGATCAGTACTGAAAGGGTTATTTTTAAGTTATGAAAAAAAATAACCCTAAAAAAAAAAAAAAAGTCAGCCTGATCAGAGAGCCCTCTGATCACAGTGATCACTGATATAGTACCGTACGCAGATATACTGTACAGTAAAGTGATCACGGCAGCGGGGAAAGGGTAATGGAGATTTGGGTTGCTGCAACTGACACAAAGGGTCAAAAAAAATGAGAAATTATTTTTTTTGACCCCAAATTTTTTTTAAAATAAAGTACAAAAGTACTTGATGCCCTATTCAGCTGATGACAGTAATAAACTGTGATCAGTGCTGAAAGGGTTAAATAAAATATATATTTTTAAAACTTTTATAAAGTAATAAAACTTTTTTTTTTTTCACAGGAGCTCTAAAACCAACGATGTCTCTGCCTCTCTCTCTCAGATCGAAGTGAGCTGAGGTCATTGGCTGACACATAGTAATAGTGATCACAGTGACTGGCTGTCACTGTGATCACCTCCTGCAGATTGGTTATTTGAGCACAGGGGGGAGTGCCTGGGTGGTACAAGCACTCCCCCTACCGATCTGCAGGGGGATCATGGTGCCTGTTACATGTATCAGCCATTAGGCTGACACATGTAACACTGATCGCAGTGACAGGCTGTCACTGCAATCAGAGCTCTTTGAGATCGCAGTGACAGCCTGTCACTGCGCTCAGAAGGTGCAGATCGCGGTCACTGACCCCAGGGGGACTGCCTGGGGGGCCAGGTAAGTCCCCCGACCGCGATCTGCACAGCAGAAAGCCGCCGGGCACATGTGTGTGATCGCAGTGACAGCCTGTCACTGCGATCACACAGTGCAGATCGCGGTCACTGACCCCAGGGGGACTGCCTGGGGGGCCAGGTATGTCCCCCGACCGCGATCTGCACAGGGGTAGCCGCTGGCCACGTGTGTCAGCCGATTTGAAATTGGCTGACACACGTTAAATACTGATCGCAGTGACAGCCTGTCACTGCGATCAGAGGCTGCAGATCGCGGTCACCGGCCACAGGGGGGGTTGCCTGGGGGGCCAGGCATCCCCCCCGACCGCGATCTGCAGCGGGTGATTAGCGCCGGCCACGTGGGCGGCCATTATAGAGACGGCGTACTATTACTCCCGCTGGCGTTTAGAGCCGGCTCCTGCAGGGCGTAATAGTACGCCCTCCAGATTTAAGGGGTTAAAGACAAAGGAATTTGCTTTCCACTTCTGTACATGCTCAGTATACTGATGACTCATCCAACTGTTTGTAATCAGATACTAATTAGCATATGCCACGTGGAGATTTCGGCCTACTTGTAGAATATTGCATATTCTGTATGTTCCTATTCAATACATATTAAGGTGTGGCTGTCTAATGGGTTAAACAGAACAGATGGTGTTTGCTATTCTGTAACATGAGGTCTCTGGAATTTGCTGTATAAGAGATCTGAGGCGGTCTTTATATAGGGAACTTCCTTATATGGCAGGGTCTAAACTAAACGTTATGCCGTAATTTGGGGTATATAGAGCCAAGGACAAAGGATTACAGGCTCTTCCTGCTACGATCCGTTTTGCTCTCCTCTCTGATGTCAAGACGACTCTCTGTAACGTCGTTAAGATTTACCATCTGTTAAGTATAAGATTGTTTGCTGTTGAATGTAGAATAAATACTTATTTTTTATAAAGAACGTCAGATCCCACAGAGGCAGTATAGATTACCCCCAGATTCAATTGATTCTATTGCAAGTGTCATTAATGATTTGGAACAGAAAGGAATAATTAGAAAAGCAAATAGTCCATGCAATCATAATCTGTGGCCAATTTTGAAAAAAGAATCGAATTCCTGGAGATTAACAATTGATTTACGTACATTAAACAAATACACACCACCTTCTGCACATGTGGTGGCAGAAACCCCAGATATAATGTCACGATTGACGTCAACGGCTAAGGTATACTCAGTACTAGATGTAAGTAATGGGTTTTTCTCTGTACCACTAAAGCATAGTTGTCAGTATAAGTTTGCTTTTACATTTCAAAATCAGCAATATGTGTTTACTGTGTTACCCCAGGGTTTTCACAGTTCTCCAACATATTTTCATCAGGCATTGGCAAAAGTTTTGTCTAAGTTTTCTAGGCCAGAATGCTTGTTACAATATGTTGATGATATGCTTTTGCAGACTGAAACTGAGGAAGAACACCTGATTCTGTTAAATGAATTATTTTTCCTTTTGCAGGATTCTGGTTTAAAACTGAATACACGCAAAGTAACACTGATGCAACCAGAAGTACAATACTTGGGTGTACACATTGGTCCAGGACACAAGAAGCCAGTGCAGGAAAGAATCAAAACAATTTCTTCTCTTCCTGTACCGACTTTACACAAGGCCTTACGCCAGTTCCTAGGATTAATGAATTTTTCCAGAGAATTCATTGAAGGGTTCGCTGAAAAAGCCAAACCTTTATATGATCTCTTGAAAAATAGTGAATCTTCATTTGGACCATGGACAGATGAACATCAGAATGCATTTGAGGTACTTAAAAGAGACTTACAGGTTGCACCTGCTTTAGCGACAATACATCCAACTGCATCTTTTGCAATTCAAGTACATACTTCAGAGACGGCTGTCTCCGCAGTACTATTACAATTGCAGCAAGAGATATGGAGAATAGTGGGATATTTTTCTAAAATTCTTTCCCCAGTGGAAAGAGGGCTAGAAATTTGTGCCAGACATTTGGTAGGAGTACATTTTGCGGTAATGGCAACTGAACACATAGTGGGATTCAAGGACATAATTCTGCAAACACCACATACACCTTTTGAAATTACTTCTTGAAAAAGGAATTCCAGGTGTGTCACATCAGAGATTTTCACAATGGTTAATAGCTCTATCACCAAAGCAAATTAAGGTAAAACATAAGGCAAAGTATGTACTTCCACAACTAATGCAATTTGAGGGTAAACCCCATAAATGTTTAGCAGAAGTTGAAGAGAATTTTCTTTCTCTTTTCAGAAAGGAAGCAAGTGAATCTGATGAACCTGTGTTTGTTGACGGGTCCAGATTCTGTTCAGATGGGAAGTACTATACAGGTTATGCTATATGGTATCCAAAACGAAGATATTCAGTTGAGCATAAATTGCCAGGTCATTTGTCAGCACAGAGAGCAGAACTAGAAGCATTAAAAACAGTACTGACACTTGAGGAAAAAGAAGGGCGTCCCCTAGTGATATATAGTGATAGTTCATATGTGGTTAGATCACTAACAGAACATTTAGCTATATGGAAAAGAAGAGGGTTCGTAGATGCCTCAAATAAAGTGTTAGCACACAAAGAGACACTAGAGACCATATTTGGAATTGCGTCTCAAGGGCCATGTTTACATGCTATAGTTAAAGTTCCTGCCCATCAAAAAGGTAAAGATTTACTTAGTGAAGAAAATGAAATAGCTGATAAATTTGCAAAAAGAGCAGCTTTAACTGGTGAAAATGCATTGCAGACAGAGCCTATGTCAGTAGCAGTGGTTAGAAAGACTAACACACAGCCTCCATCTTTTGCAGAAGAACAGGCAAAGGATTCGTCCCTTGCGGCTTCTCAGGTGTCAGGGTTTCTTTGCTGTTTTAAACA